AGAGAGAGAGAGAGACACAGAGAGAGAGAGAGACACAGAGAGAGAGAGAGAGAGAGACACAGAGAGAGAGAGAGAGAGAGAGAGAGAGAGGGAGAGAGGGAGACAGAGAGAGAGGGAGACAGAGAGAGGGACAGAGGGGGAAGGGAGAGGAGACACAAAACAAAAAACAGTCTGTAGTGTTGCACTAGGTCACCTTTCTCAAGTAGACCCAGTCTCCCTTGACCTCAACCATTGCAAAGTGCAGTGTGGTAGGGCCTTGTGGAGTTGCAACCTTAGAGATCTGGATCGATGCGATATCCCAAGCTACACCAGCTGCAACCTCAGAGCAGCAATGCCATCTTTGAAGAGTTTTGTCAGGTCGGTGCATAGGTATCCGTTCAGGGCGTCCAGTGTTTCATCTTTCCAGTAAAGCTCAGCTGGAACCACACTGAAGAGAAATCGAGTTGTATAAGTATGCCTAAGGTGATCTTAGATCATGAAGAGCAAAGAGTTGCATGGAGTTGTACCATATAATATATGCAAAAGAATTTAAGATTTATGCCTGACTTCGTGGGGCCCTGAGCTGTTCTTGTACATTGGACCCTTCCACGAAAGGCACGGCTGGACGGCTTCAACCATGATTGGTAGCTTGTACTTTCCTCGACCTTCATCACCATGCAGATAAAGGGGAACCGTGTGGGTTCGCGGTGGTGCACCAGGCTTGTTCATGATGTGATGCTTGTCATAAAGTACAAATTGCATCCAGAAGTCACTCAGAGCAGACTGCCATTTGCTAGGTTCCTGAAGATCCACCCCTCCAAGGATCAAGTAGCTCTGCTTCTCCAGCAAATAGGACATCCATGTGCTGGGGTAGATGCATGGATAGTACACCATAACTTTTTTTTTCACACTTGGCCGCCGCTTCCGGACTGGAATCTGAACCATGCTGATCTCCAGAGGAAGTGTCACCCCTTCCCTGTGTATAAGCCGATGTAGGTTTCGACTTACATTAGTCTTGCTCTGACCAGCAGACGAGATCTTGTAGAGCATGTCGAGCTGCCCTGGAATTCATGATTGCAAATTATAAAATTCTTCTGCGGTATATGAACCAGGAATACCTCATCCCATAGTTGCAAACTAGACTCATTGGCCAGCACCAATTTTGCAAACCAGTCCAGCCATGTGGGAAGCACCCTTTGCAGATTCCGCCTCAGGTACTGAGCCGGCGCTTTAAATAGCCAGCATGACCTGGGGACCTACACTAGTTGAAGACAAGATGCTCCACTAAAGTATTTTGAGAAAATCTCCTCAGCAGCCTCCAGGTCCAGATCTTGATCTTCTTTGTCAGCAGCATTCCCAGGCCCAACGCTTGGAGAGATTAGGGTTGTCTGCTTGGGGTTTGGAGTACACACATGAACCCAGGCACATCAAGATAGATCCCGAAGTTGGGTGGCATTGCCAAGTTACCACCAGCCAAGCGCTGAAGATGCACATCCGCATGAACACCTGGCCAGCTGAGAGGGCTTAAGATTTATAAACCATGTGCATACATGTACGTGCTCGAGTGTGGTGGCTGATCAACAACATTGCAGCTGTTTCTTTCCTCTTCCCCAGGCACACATCAGGGACTTGCAAGTAGTGCACACATGCTGTATGCATGCACAGCATAATTAAATCACAGAGACCATGCGAAAGCCTGCGGTCAAGTGTTCTCGAAGTGCAAACCACATAAAGAGCACTATTGCATGGTTTCTAGATTAAGGGCCACGATTACCACAGGTGCATGGCTGTCTAAGCTCGCGGAAACATACAGCATACTTCGGTTCATAGGGTCAAACTCATGAGTGACTCTTTCGCTTGGCGGAGGACGACTTCGGCGTCTTCCCTTTCTTGCCACCGGACTTTGGGGACGCCTTGGCCTTGGGAGTCCCAAGCTTCAGGTTCCTTAGATCATTGCAGGAATGGTTCTAGATTTTTTGGGGTCTGGGCTTCATGTATTGCAAAGTAGTGGCCTGGCTCGCACCATCAAGGCATTGATGGCTAGGTCAAGGCGTGTGCAGCTAGCATAGCACTTCAGCAAGCTCTCCTTCGTGGACCTGTGAGGGGCTGAGTATTGCAGATAGTTACCTATGTGAGGTTGCTCACTTTGAATGGATCAGTCCTCTTGGGTGGGGTTCCAGCATCCAGCACTGCATCAGTCTGGAATTTTAAGAGCTCCTTGTTCTTTTCATCCAACTCCTTTCTCTTGGGCTCCAGCTCACCAGCCAGCCTAAGTGGATGGTACCAGTAGAATACTCGAGGCAGGGTTAAAAGGACTGTTCAAACTACCAGAAATGCAGTTGAAAAGCTCAAAGGCTCGCTTGTTCCCACCAGCTTTCAGCTTGTCCTGTCGGATATAGAAAAGGTGCCAGACAATATGCTATAACAACCCTAGTCCCTGCTATTTCCCATCAATCAAGAGCCTGGAATTGAAAACCTAGCATTTCTTGCAAAGCCTATACGATAGATCGCAGTGCAAAACCCTACACTGTAAAACCCAGCAACATCTACATGCACCCAAGGGCAGACCTGGATGTCCGTTGCTTTGTCCACCTTCTTCCCAGTCATATCGATGTACGACGCCAAGACACCTTATTAGGGTTTAGGGTTTAGGGTTTAGGCGTGCTGTGTGAAAGTTGTCAGGAAAGGCACTGAACACACTTGATTAGCTTGCAGAACAGGGAGGCACTTCTCTTTGGCATTGCCTGCACTAGTGGCCATGGCAGTTCTGGCATGGTTCACATCCGTGGTGTTGCGCCCGTTGTTCCTTAGACATTTGGGTTTCCAGGCTTAGGGTTTAGGCTTGGGGTTTAGGCCGGCGCTCGGGGTTAGAGGTCTAGTGTCTCCAATTGGTGGCTCCAGACAAAATGCATGCAATCAGGTGTCTGCGGTGCCTTGCTCTCAGTCACCGAGTTCGCGAAGAGGGTGCCGTTGGCATCCTGAGGAGTTACAGTTTGGGTTTTATGAACATCGTCAGGGCTCAGGGGCTTCAGGATTTGTTTGGATTTTGGAGGACCTTTGCCTGGACTTCAAAGGTCCCGGTCTGCTTGGCTGTCTGCTTCTCACTGCTGCGGAACAGAAACTCTTCTTTCAGCGGGATCTTGTACTCTTCCATACCATGAACTTCATTGGTTCGCGTAAGACCACGAGCCGTGGCCCAGCGGATCGAGTTCTTGATCATGATACTTAGATCTCAGGTGTTGCATGCACACACTATGACATGTACATGCAAAGTATCTCGCTCGAATGCATTCTTGATGGTATTGGTTGCCATGGTACTCCGTGTACCCTTCCTGTGCCATGGCCTGTTCACTGTACCAGCCACCCTTGGTATCGTTCTGGGCCAACTGCTCGGATTCCTTAGTCAACTGAACCTCCACACGACGGAAGTCGCCATGCTGCAGGAGCACCTCCCGAATTTTCTCGCCTCAGGTCACGACTCTATGTGGTTTGCGGATCGAGGCCATTAGCATGATGAGTTAACTGCTGCTGGGTTTCGTCCACCTGGGGTATTCAGGAGGGCCATAGCTTGCTCACTGCATTTCAGAGCGCCTTTCTTGTTGGGCTTGAAATATCTGTTGATCCTCAATTGAAGAACACGGTGCACACACAGCCAAAACCACTATGTATACAAGCTAGCACGCATACCTTGGAAAAATATGACAAGCATCCGCCAGTATGTGCCATCCTCATAAGATGACCCAGACCCCCGACCACTGGAACCAGTCGAAGCCGAGGAGGGGGCCGGAGAAGGGGGAGGGGCGGCCCGTTTGAGCTTCTTTTGTTGGGTATTCGGGGACAGGAGGACAGTAGGGGTCAAGGCACCATTCCCAGTCTGGTCTACTTGGTCGGGCTGCTTGCGTTTGCCATCATCAGCACGACAGGGGGTTGCTACACGTTTGCGTGCAGGTGGAGCAGCAGGAGGGGCCATGTGCCCCTGCAAGGGGTCCTGCACTGAGACTCCTTGGTGAGCATGCCCTGGCATGAAGTTTCCAGCATGAGCTGCTTCATGGACCAAAGCATCTGCAGGGAGTCCTGATGATACGGGTGGGGTGAGTAGTCCTACTGATACGATGGGGCTTTGATTGTATATTGGCCAAGGATGTGCTGTTCGAAAGACTACGATATGATCGGGCCTACACTTTCTGGATTACCAGTAATGCCTATGCACTTAGGGTCAAGGATGTGGGGTTTTGGGGTTTAGGAAGGGTTTTGGGCTTTCGGGATTATTGGGGTTTAGTGTTGGGGTCTTCTTGGCTTGCGGTTCAGGAGATTGAAAGCTTTCTAAGATTTAGGGCTTTGTTGGCGTGCCCAGGACCCAACCTTGAGCATAAGCCTAGCCCCAGGCCCAAAGTCTATAGTTAATCATCCCAAGCAAGTGAAACCACAAACTAAACACCCAAATAACTAAGTCCATCCTCCAGCATCCACACCATCATAGGCAGCCAGTTCCTGCTGCAGAGCAAGGACCTTCCTCGCCTGCTCCTGAGATATAGATTATGTTTCAGAACTCAACAAGGGTGGATTGTATGCATGTCGGGAGTCTGCAATCTGTTCATCCAACAGAATGCTTTCGGAAGTCTGGGGCTGCTGGCGGAGCATGGCTAAGCCAAGGTCCAAAGACTTGCAAGTTGTAGTTCGCACTACAGACATGGCTTGGCCCTATGTTCTGAACAGCAAGACAGGGCGACCGGATGCATGTGTGCAGCTCGTTGCCGACTACTAGCAAATTTAAGTGATTCTGAAACAGGCAAAAAGGCAGAAATCACGATTTGCGCCTGTTTGCGGCCTTTTGCGCCCGTTTGCCTCTGTTTTGCGCCTGTTTTGCGCCTAAAATTGCCTGAGCAAATCGTGTTTAGCAGCACAAGCACCTCAGGCTTGAATTGTGCATTCCTCGTCCTGGTTGGTCACGATTGACCAGCCTGAGCATAACCAGCTTCAGCACGAAGAGGATGGTCATGTAGCACCTGAGAGGGCCATGGTACAATGGTTGTGTGTCATACTGTACTATTCAGAAAGGACCAGGGCAGTCTAGGAGCTGAGTCAAGAAGTTCACTGTTCAACTTGGCCATAGTGGACTGCCATGTCTGGGGGATGGTCAGGTGCTTGTTCTTGTAGAGGTATGCCCATACTGAAATCGTCTGGGCATCTGGCCAACGCCCATACTGAAATCGTCTGGGCATCTGGCCAACAGTCTCCCACTTCTAGACCCTCAAACAACTCCCTGTCTGTTGCACTGCTGGACACATGCACTTTCTGGCGCATGCTGAGGCGAGGCTGCGTCGACGCCCGCTCCTCGTCCCAAAGGGACAAGACTTGCTTCGCGAAGTCCCTGGGGTAGGCCCTGGGCGGCAGCTGTAGGGGTGAGTAACTACTGTGCAACCCAAGTACTATCTAGAATATCCATGCTTTCGAAAAAATAAGGATCCCACCCACTCTCTTTCAGAGCATCCTTGCACCCCACATACTTTCGCACACCATTGGCATCTGTGTGTCGACCTATATGCACCATGCAGATGTAGAGGTACGCGTTTACAAGCACATGGCTGGACTGCACACAATGTAAGGCTCTAGCGTGAAGTCTTGATTGTGGCAGAGGCCCTCATTTCACGTGTAGGAGGGGAACTGTCCTCAGGCCACATAATATTCCCGCACAATGCATAAGTGACCCCTGTCCATGTAGCCCCGGCTAATCGGCTGAGTTCAGAACAAACCCCTGAGCCATAATAAATGAATTTGTCCACAAGGTCGTCGGCTTGGGACACGGGGCTCCGTATCGTTGCTGCCAGAGGCTCGTCTTGAATACCTGGGGAAGCATACTATAGGGTTTAATTTATATCTACTAGTACACTAGGGTTTAGGCTTGAGGGTTTAGGGTTGAGGGGTTTATCACACTGGCTAACCACCCACTAACAACCTATTATGCACCGTAAATCAAATATTAACCATACTATAATATATATGCTAGCCACCTATTCATCCATGGTATGTTAACATAAATTATTACATCATACCTGCTATCCTAACAGAATTGATTGAACCTCGAGTTTGGACCCCAAGCCCAAAACTTGATGTATGGCTTCACCCCTGGGTGCAGCGGGCTTAGCAGTGGTTCAGGTTCTCCATCTATAATAGGCCAAGGCACATAGCAGACATGGTTGCAAAACCAAGACAACCTTTGATGGTATGCGAAGACTTGTTCACAACCACGGGGTTGCTCCAACAGGAATACTCCATGCACAGCCAAGATGAGGAGCAGTAGGAGGACCAATCTCAGGGGTCATCGGTTTGGGAATCGGGCCTACCTATAATATATACACACTTAATTGATTATTACTTGAGATCATCGAAACTATGGGTTTGAGGGTACATATCAGTTGAAGTTTCGGGGCCAAAGCTCGGGGGCCAACCTTGATAGGGTCATCTTACCTTCCTGGACATAATCCAAAGCAGCCCTCCCGGTGGGATTGATCACCGAACGGAGCGAAGTCCCTCGGTTCGTAGTGCACCAGCTGGAGCAGGTCGGGCCCAACATGTTGAGGGCATTGGGCCCCTCTCGCAAAACACAAGTCATGGCTAGCCTTAGATGCAATGTACATAGCATGATGGCAGTTTATGACTATGGCAATGGAAGCATGCATGCATTGTAGTGGCGGCACACGATACTGAGCTTCTAGCGCAAAACCACCATCCGACAGGAAATTCATTGCAGCACCAGATGGGTCATACAGTGGATCATAGGCAATACAGGACCTGCCGGCCTCTCGACAAGCCTCCGTTACCCGTCCCCGCCCACTGAACAGCTCCAGCATTTCGATCTGCATCTCCAGGTCGATGTTGCTTGTCCACGTGAGCAAGAGAACCTTGAGGCTGCGATGGGATAGTACCGAGTATATAATGCATGCCTAGCAGACATGAAACGGTCCACTTGCAGAAGTGTTGCACATCCAACGAAGACCTTGGGTCAGGCATAGTATTTGCGCTCAACACATGAGCTCATGTTTGTGTGCGTACACATGATGGGTGAGTCAGGGTGTGTGTGTGTGTGCACATGTGTGTGTGGGTTTAGGGGTTTAGGGCTTAGGGTGTAGGAATACCATGATATGTTAACATGCATGCACAACATGCACAAAAACAGACAGCACACATGCTGCCAGTCTCAGGATTGCACCTTGGGGGCTTGGAGCTGGATGAGATTCTGCAAAATAGATTCCCAGCGAGGGATCGGCATGTTCCAGGACCCTACAAGTCCCAAAAATCAAAGGTTTGAGCCCTTCAGATCGAGAGCTCAATAGCTTGGTCAGGTTTGCAAGCAGGGAATGGACCAATATCGATTGAACAAGCCAGTTGCACCCGAAGACAAAGACCGGCAGGCCCACTTCTCGATCTTGGGCATGATTTGCCAGAGCCTGCGCACCCAGACTGGTTACAGATCGAGGCTTCATGTGCATGAGATTCATGAACAACTCATCTCAAAACGCACTTGCAATGCATTAAGAACTTTTCCGGTGCTGCGTGATGAAGTGACAATCCTATCATGAGGGCAATCTATGATCGATCGAACCCAGCAGCCTGAAGGCTCTTGCCAAAACGTGCTACAGTATGCATCCCGGCAGAAGCGAGCTCCCTGGCTCCGCCAGGTTTGTGGCAAAGAACTAAGCCATGCATACAGCACTTCCCATTGATCGATCCCTTGCTCCCCACGGATATCAAAAAGCAGCTGGCTCTCGAAATCCTTCGTGACATCATTCACTTCGTCTCATGGTAAGCCTCGGCTGGGAAGTTTAATATGCACACCTAATGGCTTGCAACTGCATGATTAATGTGCCACTGGGCAACTGTACGAGCGATGTCGATTGCCTCCTCTGTGGTCATGCCGGCATTCTCGGCTTCACGCTTCGCTCTGTGGTAAGCACAGCTTTTGCGGGACTTCAGGGCTTTCTCTTCCTGCTTTGGATCACAAGTAGCCTTAGCCTTAGCCTTGGCACACCCCTTAGCTTTGGCTTTGGCCTTTCCCTTTGCAGAGGCTTTCGGCCCAGCTTTGGGCCTCCCTGGCTGCTTGGCTTGCGCTCTCGCTTTCCCCTTGGCTGAGGCCTTAGCTTTGACTGCAGGCTTCCGAGCAGAGGGGCGCTTCATCGGCTTATCATCATCCTGTTCCTCTGCCTCATCATCTTCCTCTTGCGGTTCCTCCTCAGATCCTTCATCATCATCACATTCACTCTGAGCCTTAGCATCATCATGATGATCAGCAGCCTCTTCCTCCTCGTGCTCCTGCGACTCAGCCTCAAGCTCTGGCTCACCCTGGCCACTCTGCTCTTGCGGGGAGAGGCTTGCCTTGATCTCCTTCATACATTCTGGCTTCGGGGGCATAGTTGTAGCTGAAACTTCAGCACCGGGGCGGGAGGTCGATTCCCAAGGTCCCGGAACCTCTTCAGCAGTTGCAGTTCCAGCAGCCTTTGCATGTTTGCGCCTGCATCGTTTTGCTCGTCTGCGGCTACGTCCCACAGTTACCAAAGGCTCATCCTGTTGCTCCTCCATTTCCTCCTTGCACTCATCAAGTGTTGGTGCTTCACCTTTTTCCTCCTTGGGCTCATCAGCTACCATCTCTCCTTCTTGCTTAGCCTTAGGGGCTGTTGTCTCCACCTCATCCTTTCTCTTCTGCTGCTGCTGCTGCTCCTCCTCCTCCTGCTCATGAGGTGTTGGTGCCTCCTGTGGCGCATCCTCCTTGAAACCCTTTGGTGTTTCCAGTATATACCAATACCCAGACCCTCGTGACCCTGTAGACTGGCAATCATCAAAGCTCAGTGCTCGAGACACACCATCAAAAGAGGGTTGCCGATCATGAGGCCACGGATGCACCTGCGTCTCCTGGTTGTCAATGCCTCAGATTGGGGATGGTGGAAGTGCAATTCAGAGGCCAGGCTAGCTTATATACTCGAGCTATAATTCTGCAGTGCACACTAGTCATGCAATACCAGTTGCTGGGACCAAGCTTTGCGGTCTCCTTTGGTGGGGGCTCATAGAATCGGCGCCTTTTTGCATCCTCCAAGTCTCTCATGATGGAACGAAGTCTCTCCTGAGATGTATACGATTGAACTATCATGTCAAGACACACATGCATGCATAACATCATGGATCTAGCATTATACTGCGACCTAGGGGCAAGTTCTTGCAACTTCTTTTGCCGTTCAGGATCACACACACTCATTGACAGCTCATTCAGATCCGCTATGACACCACACGTCATGCAGCGATAGCAGCCTGTCTGCTGCCCACCCACAGGTTGCACGACACGCAGTCGCCTCGTAGGTGTCGTCTCACCTGCAGCATGGGTTGTGGTGGGGTTTAGGGCTAGTAGGTATTTGCTGGCATGCGGCTCTAAGTGCATGCATGGTACCTCCTGCAGAAGTGGCCCCAAGCTCTTTCCCCTCAGTGGTACCACAACCCGGGGGGGGGGGGGACATGGCTACTGTGAACATGGGCATGTGTGGATTATAAGCTCACGCAGATCTATCAGCCCTGATGCACCTGAGGCCAGAGGAATCGACGTCGCCACGGCACTGGTCAGAGGCCCAGTGGTATCCGGTGGCTTTGCATTTGGAGCTGGCTCAGCTTGCGGGTTTTCAACGGCTTTCAGGGATGGCTTGGATTGCGGGTTTTCAACGGCTATCAGGGATTACTTGGATTGCGGGTTTTCAACGGCTTTCTGGGATGGCTCGGATTGCGGGTTTTCAACGGCTTTCTGGGATGGCTCGGATTGTGGGTTTTCAGCGGCTTTCTGGGATGGCTCGGATTGTGGGTTTTCAGCGGCTTTCGGGGATGGCTCTTTCTGGGGTGGCTCCAAGGGCTGGGGGATGCCCTTGGGATCCTCCTTGGTAGCCGACCCCAGACCACCTGCATCCATGCGTCGGAGCTTTTGTGGTGGCTCAACAGAAACCAGAGCCTCAGGCTGACAAGCTTCTTCACACTTTACATCTGGGTGAATAACTGTAGCCGTAGCCTCCTGCATCTCCTTCTCTAGCACCGGATCATCTTCAAACTCATCCTCTTCTTCCTCCTCTCATTCATACATGGAATCCTCATCCTCATCCCGGCCAGCCCTGGGATCAGGTATCGGCACACCTGCAGCCTTCATCAACCTTCGGATGCCAGGGGAGCGCGGGCAATTGGGCCGGCCAGCGATGCGATTGAAACACGAGCTCAGTCTCTTCAGAGACCATGCCAGTGTAGAAGCCTGATTGCCTAAGTACTCTCTCTTTCTCTTTCTCTCCCTCCCTCTCTCTCTCCCTCTCTCTGTTATCTTGCATGTTTCTGCGCTCTACCATATAAGGCAAGAGACTTGCAACCGGCATCCGCATGAGGTCATACAGGGACTTCACATGAACCTCAAGAGTGTCTACAGACACTCTTGTCCCAAGGTTTCGGATCTGCTCTGTTCGGATATCCTCATTGAGTTCCACAGCTCTCCGATCCATACTGGTGATGTTAGGTGGCATGCGAACCTTAGATCACACATCCTCCTGCCCTGCATGCATGTGCATGTATACAAGGTGTGCACATGCAGGCCCAATGCAGCAAGTAGTCCAAAACATATGTGGCAGCCCTTCTGCGAATCGATGCTTGCCTCTCCCATGCACGAGCGAGGTCCGTCGCTGGGATCTCGTCTGGAGAGACATGCTCCCCCATTTCCGGCACAGCCATGATTACGAAGCTAGTAAATTAAAACACATCACATTCATGCCTGCACGTACAACTAGTTAGTTAACATGTCACACATGTGGAGTATGGTACCGAGCATGCACCTCATCTGCCAGCTTGTAAATGCTGCACCATGAATGCAGGCTGCTGCTATTGCAAGTCGCATGCACAGCACACTGCTCAATCACTTAAGAATGCATGGGGTGGGCACACCTTTGCTGCAGGATCACGAGGAGCAAAGGCAGCAGCCACCTGGCCAAACATAATCATGCAGCTTGCTGCGTGCACACTAGCACTAGATTCAGATGCTAGCTTGCTGACTCAGCCAAGGTATGACATGCTCCTGCACATCAAATGCTCATGATGCGGATCTCAGACGGGGGGGGGCCTTCGAAAACGACCATCAGCCAAGGGATGGCACCGGAAAGCCATGTGATAAGGCATCGTACCAGCACTTTGCATGAACATCTGAGTCCAGCCTAGCCTCAGACACCCTATGTAGATCCTATGCTGTCACTATCTGATCTTATATCGGATCTACATGTTTTAGGGTTTTAGGGTGTAGGGTTAAGGGTAACATGCATGCATGTTGAATGCATGCATTGTATCTGAGCCACCAAGGCGCATTTCTGCACACTTTCTGGGTTTTGGAACGCTTTGCCTGTTTCAGGTCCGCCCGTAACCCAAAAACCCAGAACCGTAACAACAGGCAAAAAGCCCAAAATAAACATATCAAGGGAAGCATCAGGTAAGTTAAATAATTCAAATCCGGCCGATTTCAATTATTCAAATTATTTAAATCCACAAGGCCCTTTTGAGAATTGAAATAATTTAAATAATTGAAATCGGCCCATTTTGAATTATTTAAATTGTTTGAAATATTTACATTATTTAAATAATTCAAATCCCGGGATTCGGTGGCTTGGGCTCACGGAACCCTGGGATTTCAATTATTTCAATTATTTCAATTATTTAAATAATTCAAATCGGTGGAATTAAAGGGAAAAGGGAAGATGGTATGGGGGAGGGGGAGGGTGGAGGGTTTGGGCGGCCTTCCACCCCTCCTTTTCCG